GTGTGTGTGTGGAACACCTGTTTGCTAAGGTCTGAACTGCTTTAAATAAAGCAGGGGGATGCCCCACACCTGAAGAGTGGGCATCTAACAAAGAGGCTTTTCAGAGTGTGCTGATATGGTTCTGGGACGCTGGAACCACGTACCTGCGGGTTTATTGATTTTTGCTGATTGCAAGTGATGATGGCAAGAGGCAAAGCCAAAAATCCTCTTCAGGTCCTACTCCTCTGTGTTGGAAAGACTGCAATCATGTATGCTAAATCAGTCCAGAGGGAGGATTGCACGAGTGTGCTTCTAGGCCGCTTTCGTCAATCGTGTCGTCTACGATAGGGTTGCCTACTGCAATGGCCCTGATCGGCCCAGTTACAGTCCAGGACCCTGATCGGTCCGAGCCCTGATCGGCTCTATCATCAACCCAAACCAGTGTTTTGCAAATGCTCCTCGGAGCAATCATGTCTTTGCGCCAGGCTTGGTCGCTATAGTTGCAGACAGGACCAATTGTTGCTGATGCAAGCTCATACAGGTTCGAGACCAGTTAGGCCCCGGGCTCCGTTTCAGTTACCAGTCTACAATGCCGTAGCAGGTCTTCCTCCCGAAGAGGACACATTCTCCTTCTATGGGCGAAGTACGCCCAATCCGGAATGGAACGAAGGAGTTGTACAGCTTGCCAGCAAATGTTTTCACTGCACAAAGAACTGATCAGGAGTGGTTTTCGCTGGCCTGCTGCCTTCGGGCCATGTCAAGGGAAAGAGTGCATCTGTCAGTTATGAAAGTAACTTGGCAAAGTTTCACGCACTAGTGCATAGCTGCTCTTCAGATCGACGGTGGGCAATTTGATTCGTAGCTGCCCGCATCGATTTCATTTTCGTTCTGTCTGAACGGGCCAAAGCCAATTTCCCTGAGCAAGGGGGCAAACAAACAGGGAGAGGGCGCAAAACCCTAAAAGGCCAGCCCGCCCTTGCTTGCCATTACCGACGGGCCAGCAGTTGATGAATCGTGGGGCCCATGGAATGTACATAGCGGGAAACCCAAGGAGGAAATCCCCACAGATACACCAGCACCAGGTGTAGCTCAGGCAGTTTCTACGGCCGAGACTTCTGATTTAGAAGACCTCATGGCTTCTGCCAAAGCTTTTCGTGGGCACAGCTCGTGACCAGCTTGATAATGCATTTCACCTCGCCAGTGTTATGCGTCATGTTCAATTTTTGATGCAGTAGATGCTACTGAGAGCTCTTCGTCAGCCTTTTGGCTTCAAAGTCTTTCCAGCAGTGCAGCGTAACGCAGATGATGCCTTTCTTCCTCCTAGTGGGGACCAGCTGCCTGAAGACTCACGACCCAGGCAGGTGGCACCACAACCAACAAGGACCAGAACAGTAATGGTCCACAACCTTCCGTACGAAAGATGTGAAGATGGTGTTACTTCGATTCAGGTTGAAGTACCGGCAGACGGCATCATAGATGACATCAAGAAGACCATCAGTAAGACACTTACCAATTCCAGATTTTATTTACCTTGTCGAGCTTTCTGTCTTCAACTCCGAGGTGTACATCAGCCTTTTTTCTCACAGCTACAAAGCATTGAGCGGTCGGCTGAATTTACATTTCAATGGTCGGAGTGAATTATGCTGGAGAACAAAAGAAGCCAATTGGCTACCCCGCACAGCGGGGTGTGTATGTGGAACACCTGTTTGCTAAGGTCTGAACTGCTTTAAACAATGCAGGGGGATGCCCCGCACCTGAAGAGTGGGCATCTGACAAAGAGGTTCTTCAGAGTGTGCTGATATGGTTCTGGGACGCTGGAACCAGGCACCTGCGAGGTTTTTGCTTTTTGCTGATTGCAAGTGATGATGGCAAGAGGCAAAGCCAAAATCCTCTTCAGGTCCTACTCCTCGGTGTTGGAAAGACTGCAATCATGTATGCTAAATCAGTCCAGAGGGAGGATTGCACGAGTGTGTTTATGCGTGTGGCGGTCTTTTGCCGTTTTTGGGCGTGACAGGGGGATGACAGTAATTGTGGCAATGAGGCCACGAGGATCAGCATGATCGCCATGGTACCTTGAATCCCGCATGCTCGAAAGCTGGTTGGAGTGGCACAGCGCTAGCTTGTGCTAGGATCATGCGTCTGTTTTCTGACGAAGGCGCAGAGGATTCTTACCATGATGAGATGAAGATTATGAGATGCGAGCCAAGAGCAGAAGATCATGACGATAGCATGAAACTAACGAATAATGTGGTGCTGGTGCTGGTGCTGGTGGTGGTGGTAATGATGACGATGATGATGATGGAGTTGAAGTTGAAGTTGTTGAAATTGTTAATGTGTCGCAGCTGGGCGCGTGCGGATGTGCTTGGACCCGGGGGGCGGCATCCCTCGCCGAAGGCGCGTGATCTTGGTTTCGAGACTGTCCGATTTCCCAATCCTCCTCCACCTGTCAGCGCCCCTGTGGTCACACTCGGTCAGTCGCATCCTCAGCCTTTAGCGTCAGAATATCATCATCGTCGTCATCACATCAACATGACAGTCTTCTCGTTGTTGTTATTCTTCTGATTTTTTCTTTTCTTCCGTCAATCCTTCGTCTTCTTCTTTCTATTCTTCTTCTGTCTGTCTCGCTCTGTCTCTCTCTCTCTCTCTCTTTCTCTGCGCATGACGACTGCCAAGTCAACCTCCTGAGGCGTGTGGGAGCATTTGTGTTAGACCCGGTGGGGGTCGAGAGTATCGGACTACTGCGACACTCATGGGAGTTTAGCAGGCCCACCACCGTGACATTGTGTCTGTGTTGCCCCACTGCATCCATCCGGTATGCTAATGGACGGTGATATTCGGCATTTCGCTGATGTCTGGTAAGGCTTTAAGATCTTCGCTTGGTCCTGTCGTCTGCGAAGAGACCACGTGACTTGGGCAACGTCTGTCTCAGGCAAGAGAATGCCGCAAAGAGAACGAGGAGCAGCCATGTCTTTGGGATGACAGGTGTCCCGGGCTAGGCCCGGCAATTGCACCGACTGCCTTGAGATTACAAGGCTGCAAAAGCCTCTTTCTGCCAGGCTGCAGTGCTCTTGGATTCGCGTCACTTGTCAGAGCAATTCAGAGCATTCTACCGATTCAGGACGTGGTTGCAGCAACAATCTGAAGACACTTGATTCCTTCCTGATCAGGAATTGCCGATACTGTGGGTTCGGAGAATATGCGCCTTGCCCTCTTCATCATGGTGCCAGCCGGCCACGACCACCACCTATTTCTTCCTGCAGTCCGCTGGGTACTTATACCTGTAGTACCTTGGCTCTCATCCTAGCTTACTTCTGAGGGGCGATGAGGATGATTAGATTGATAAGTGATAAGGCTGACAAGGGACTAGGCATTCAACTCTGATCAAGACATCTTCCGGGCGGTTCGGCAAGCCATGGTGCCATAGCGGTTATCAAGCACGTGCATGTGCAGGCAGAACGTGCTTCAACGTGGACGCAGGCGCCGGTGCTTTCGTCGGTAGCAAGGACCCCAAATTCAACATGTCGTGGTCGCGGCGTGCAGGAGCGGAAACCAATGTCATCACAATGCAACATGGAACACCCTACTTTGAGCCACTCGCTGTCATGGACTGGAGGTGTGCGGCTCACGCCTATGCCCACTCTTGTTGATCTGCCTAGGTCTAGCACCGACCCTAACAGCTCGCCACTGCTCGTCCCAATGACAGGGTTTGCAGTTTGCACAGCTCTACAAGCACCCAAGGAATCGTGTCACAGCTGGAAACGGCTTCGAGGAAACGCAACAATGCTCCCAAGTCCAGGGCATTGGCGGCACGAACATGTATTCCTGTGTAACCAATTGGCGGCGCGAGCACACCCTGAAGATGCTTGGCCGCAACGGAGTCGTTCGTTGGGAGAACCTCCTGACCGAAGTGCGGTGATGCCTGCACAACGAAGGATCGCTCGCTTCTTGCAACAGATCACCTTCAATGCCGACTGTACATTCTTTGTGAAAAAAGTATGGCGAATGTCGCCGCAGCCTGTCTCCACATGCACTGTAAGGTGCACCAAGCGCTGATGCAGCGCTTTAGAAAAGTTTGAATTGGTGTAGATTGCAGCATGCTTTTGTAGGGCCTTCTGTCGATCCGTGGCTCCTTGCGGATTGGGCAAAGGCCTGGCACCTTTTTCGGGCCCTGCATGCCCCAATTAAAGGAGATTGTTTTAGATAGTGTCAGCGACTCCAAAGACCGAGACCAATACTTTGACCTTTCCTTGGCTTAGAGCCGGTGCCCAGTGGGTCCCCCGAGGGCGAATAGAAAGCCCAGAGGGGTCTCCGAGCTCTTCCACGCATTTTGAGAGTCCGGGATGGGTCGCTTCATGGCCTTCAGGAGATTCTCAGAGTCTGGGAGCGCTGATTCTGAAGACGCCAGAAACTGTGCAGAAGGTGGAGCCCGAAGATGACTTCGCGTTCAGAGTACTGTACCCGAGATATTATTGGCAGCTCAGCATCATTAAGCACTGCTGATGGCAGGATCTAGATTCTAGATTTTCAGAATGCTGTCTGCACTTCTGCACTGTCGGATGCCACCGCCATCACTTGGCAGCGGAACCGCTCGCGCGCTGTGTGGCCGGTGGGGTTTTGGGACTCAAAGTATGGTCCCGCCCTGGCAATTTTATCCACAAAAGCTACAAAGAGCTCATTGGACTAGATGTTGTAGCCTGAATTTGCATTCTGTACAGGTGCCTGCAAGGATGATAAGCAGTTGCATCAGGGGTGCTGGTGTCGAAGTCGCCAGCAAAAAAGGGCAGCAGAGCGGGCACATGCATCGTGTCACTTGTGCGTGGCTCCTTCCAGACGTGGCTGAAGCCTAGACACAGCACCTTTAAGCACCTTCCTTGTTCTTCTGGTGAAGGAGCTTCCGGAAAGGCCCTCGGAGGCGCAGCGACGGAAAGGATGGGATGGGGGGGAGAGCCTTGGCCAGAGGTCGAACGCGAGACCGCGGATCAGACGGAGACCACGACAGAGACCACTGCGACGCAGGCGCGACTCGCGGTTGGGGGCCCTTGGGCGCTTTTGGCAGCGTTTCGTTCGCAGCTGAAGCGAGGCGCCGCCCAGCGGCGCAATGCCTCCGGCGGCTCCAGCAGCTCCAGCGGCCCCAGGCCCGACGCATGCAGCACAGTGATGCGCAGTGTCGGAGGTGAGACGGCGCCCGGCGCCCGTCTCACGTCACGTCGCAGCAGAGGCGTGCGCATCTGAGGTGCTCTGCCATCTCCGCCTCCAGCGCCTGCAGGAGAATTCTGCAGTCCATCCCAGTGACAGCGGTACTTATGCCAGCACAGACTGTCCTCGGCTAGGAGCACCGAAGGCAGCACCTCGCAGACGTCGTGAAGGCACGGTACATCCGGTAGAGACTCGTGATTTTTGTTGTGGGCCTTGGGAGGAGAAAGACCACGACGGAGCCAGCAGAGCCTCGTCGTCCAGCTGCTGAAGCCTCCTACGACAGGGTGCAGATGGTTTTACCTAGGGCGCTGGCAGAGCCTCACATCTCCCTGGACTTGCAGGCGTGGCTGGCTTCTAATGTCCCTGAATTTTCTCATCGTCCTCATGCTTGTGCTGCCGGCGACATTTGTAGCTACCGGTGACATGCTGATTCCTGCGCGAACGACATGTCCAGTGTGCCACGATCGATACCAGGTTTCCTTCTGCATCGTCTTGGCCGATGTGATCAGGATTGGCAACCAGCAAAACGGTGTGGCAATGCGTGGGATGGTTCAGCGGGTCCTTGCTTGCCAGGCAACCTCCGAGTCTCCTCAATCCAGCACCGGACCAGAAGGTGCCGACTACCCACGATTCTTCAAACCCCGAAACAGCTAAACAGCTTCTTGCAGCAGTTTTGTTTTGCATCCAAACCCCCATACCGCGCCGGGAGCTTGATGACCTTGATAGGGAGCCGGGTTCACCAGTCATGCACATGCAAGCACTTGCACGTATGACATCTGATGTCAGGGCTGTTGCTACTCTTGTATGCTAGAATCTTGGAAGCCGCTCAATGTATAAACTAGGACCAAGGAGGTACGACGGTACGAGTAGCGGAAGTCTTGCAAAGGACGACATGATACTTCAGGTTCACGACAGGCGCCGTGCAAGAGTTGTAGAGAAAATGGGGAACAACAGCCAACACAGTCGGCATTGCGCATGTGCGAGCAAGCATGTGGTGGCATCGCTGCCGATGCCAGGTCCAAAACCAGAAGCCCTGAGTGTCTGGACCCCAGTCGAGAAACGAGGCCGACGATCTGGCAAGGGCAAATATCAAAGGATTCGTCAATGCTGTCAATTGATTTTCATTGATGCATCTGGGAGCAGGCTCCTGACATATCTGTGCTAGTTTTCTCGACCTTCGTCTCCAACACACTGTTGGGGCTAGCTCATCAGGAGGACTAACTAAGACTCAGTGGCTGCCACTGTCTCGGATGACCTCAGGCAGCAGTGTGGCTGATGGCGATGGCCAGTAACGGCTCTATGCTGTGCGCCATGCTGTGAAAGCAGCGCAGTAGAGACTGTAAGGCAGAGCAAGTGCCGTGCAGTGGGCCAAATGGCCCCTCCGTCGATGTGCACTTGCAGCACCATTTCGAGTGTCAACCTTCCTTGGTCGAAAGCCTTCGGTCTTGGGGGTTCGGACAGGCGCCAAAACCTCTGAAGGTGCCTGTGCTCTTGTCCGCTCATGTAGCAATGTAGCACAAACCTGGCAAGTGCAGATTGCATCGCCTCGCTCAAGAAAGAAGATTTATGGATCTTGCAGCGGCCATGGCCACTTTCACAGTCGAACGGCATTTTCGATACATCTGTTATTGCTTCTGTTACTGTGAATATCCAGTTAACATGGGATGAACAGACGTTCTGCCTCATACTTGATAGCTGCTCAAGCCGCACATTAGGCATCATTCAGGTAATATGAGTGAAAATTCAATATTCGCAAGTTCTGGAATAGTGAATCGGCGCAGCAATTCGAAGGAGATGGTGTTTCATGACGTAGCAGTTGAGTATGAAATCGTTTCTGATAGCGACGACCGCGTGCTTCAAATGAGGAGGAGATGGCAGAACCACGTAATTTACCGCCAAGTAGTCATTAGCGACTAAGTCGTGACATGCCAGAAGCATAACTTATGGTAGGTGTCAGGGAAAACCTGTTAAAGCTGGAAGCAGCAGAAGCTAGTTCTATCGTTTTAGCATTTACTTGTTATAAGAACCCTTGAGCAAGATATCTGACGCATATAGTAGTGGAAACTGGTTAAGTTGTATGTAAAAATCGCAGGTTCGACGAGTCTTGCTTGATTACTTACAGAACATACAGGGTATCTGGTTGTTTCATGCAGTTGCATTTGGTTAAAGGTTCTTAGCCTGCCATCTGTGTGTTACCGGCATATCTACATTGACTGTCGCTTTGCATTCCCCTGCCGCCGCCACTCTGGGGCTGTTTGGGGTTATATCGGGCTCCTAGGTTGAGGTTGTAACTTTGAGGATGTCAGGCATGCATCTACTCAAGCTGACAGAACACCCCTGCCGTCAGCAACCCGACTATGATAGCTAGTTGCCCGCACGGACCTCTGCCTCCTCGCAGTCCACGGAGATAAGCCTGAAACCCCGACATTAGCTTTCAGGAAGTCCAGAGCTCCGCGAGCTGCAGGTGTTGCTGCTTTCTGCATTTTCTGTCAACTCTCTGATGAACAGAATTCGTGGCTCAAGGCGACATCCTGCCTGCTTTCGGCTTCCCGGCAGCCGCGCGCAGATGTCCAGCATTCCGGATGCGATCGAAGTCGAGGCTTGTGAGGCCGGCATGATGAGACGTGCGGAGTCCGAAAGCCCAGGCGTGTCGCTGCCTGGAACCATTGCCACCCTTTTGAATGTGCTTGTAGGTGGTAGCAGCGTTCTGTTGCCGTATGCATTCCAGCTCTCGGGATGGTGTTTTGCACCGCTGGTTCTTGCTGTCGGCTGTCTCATGGGCTTCACATTGTGGATCATGGGCTTCCTGCTTGAGTCGCTCGATGAACGTGCAGAGCAGATGGGCATCCCCCGGTCGCAGCGCGACTGGGGTCTTATCGGCTACGCAGCTTTTGGGAATGTTGGCCGCGTTGCTTTTGCCGGCTGCATGTTTGTTGATCTGATTGGATCTGCCCCGTTCTTCTTGAGCATTGCCATCGAGCAGCTTCCTTTCCTCCTACCTTTCAGACACGAGTTGGTCGCTGCACTTTGCTGTCTTGCGGCCTTCGGCTGCTGCCTTCTCCCAAAAAGGTTTTTCTCAGCAATGGCCGTGTTGGGGATCACGTCTCAGGTCATTCTGGTCGTGGGCGTTTTTGTTACAGGTGCCGAGCTGTCCTTCACGACTGGCACTGCATCAGACCAATTACTGTTCAAAGCAGCAGGCATTCCACCGGCTGTTGGCATTGCTCTTCTCTGCTTCATCGCTCACAGCGAGGCACCTCTTATTTACCAGATGATGGCAGACCGGACAAAGTGGACCAAGGCAGTGATCTACAGCATGAGCGTTGCCGAGGCTTTCGTCCTACTATTCGGTGGATTGGGATACATGTTCTTCGGCGGCAGTGTTGGGCAGTCCATTGCCGTGAACATTGGTCGCGACTTGGACCTTCATCTGCTTCCGGAAAGCTTTCACATCTGCCTAGGTGCCGTCACTATTTTGTGCCTCAGCACAAAACAGCTGATGTCTCTGCCTCTTGTGCTGGATGCCACTGGCGATCTGTTCGGAGAGATGCTTCAGTGGAAAGGTCGGATAATCATGAAAGCCATGGTCTTGAGCATTTCTGGTCTCACTGTGGTACTCTTCAAGGATGATGGCATGGCTTTCTTTGGGGATCTGGAGGGAATCCTGCCTGCAAATCTCGTGGGCCTCATTTTCCCTTGTGCCGCTATGCTGCAGATTTGCGGGCATGAGATGTGCATGTGGCGACGACTGGGTGTGCGTGCTTTGCTAGTTGTTTCCACTATGTACAGTGTGCTTGGGTCCGTGTACATTGTTCTGCAGCAAGTGGGTGCTTTGTAAACAGCACGAGACGATGTACAGCGTTCTATGATTGTGATGTAATTACAGATTTTGTTGGGCCCACTCAGCTCCCTTCGAGCAGGAGGATGTGACTGGGGAGTTGTTTTTGTCGGACGCTTCAGCCCATTCAGCTCCCTCTTAAGAGGACGTGAATGCCGCTTTGGCGTCCTGGACCCATTGCTGAGAAAATGTCTCGGTTGTACCAAAGCCTCACATGCACTTCCTCGCCAGGGAAACAACGTGCATGTTCCGATCGGCGGTAGCTTGTCTCAGCAGTACGGGCATTGAATTTCGCATGGGAATATGGACAATATGCATGACGGCTCCAGGCAGGCATGCTTGCTGTGTATGCCATGTATGCTATCCGCTATCCTTCAGCTCCTCATAACCCCCTCCGGATAATCTTTGCATGCAGAAGGACAAGGCTTTCAGACACTCATTCCCCTGAGCCTGTACGCCGTGAACTGACACCGAACCTAAAGCATCCCGAAAGCAAAAGGGACTGCAACCCAGGAAGTCTGAATGGAACGCAGCATGGATTCGGTGGAGGGCACGGGAGACGCGCGGTCAGGCTTTTCATGCCGCTGGCAGATGCCTATGCAACTTGTCCTACCAGTACGGCTTACAGAGCATGACTCTGATCTTCGGAAGTTCTCTGCGAGATACGCAAAGTCAAGGAAACTTTGGGGTTGCGCCGCTCCTGCAGCGACGACGAGGTCAAGCAGGCCTACAGAGCTCTTGCGCTCAAGATGCCCAGCTGCACACACGGGACACATGACATGCATGACTATGCTGTGTCATACATTCAGTTCGAATTCTGAGGAACCACCCTGACAAGGTGTCTTGGCTCTTACATGAGTCACGGTCAACATCCCGTTAGTCTAGGCTGTAATTTGGAATGACCCAAAGTTTCCAACAGTCTAGGATTATGAGGGCGGCCGCAACTACATGCATAGGTTGAACGGAGTCAGAGGAAGCGTATGTCTCGGCTTGTGCAGCCGGATCCGGACTGTAATATTCAAAGGCTGTGTCGCTTTGCGCTGCAGGTACAGGATGAGACGAGAAGGCGCTCGGCAACCGTGCGCTTCCAGGTCCAGAGAACTGAGAAGCTCCCGTAGACTCGCATGAGTCACAGTTTCATGCGCCTCAGAGGAGATTCAGGCTGCCTACGAGATCATCATCGAGACTAGGACAAGGACAGTGACTGCTGTCTGTCAGTCCGTAAGTTCTCTCAGCCCCAGCCCGCGCAGGACCCTCTCTTTAGCTGCAGGCGGCTTAGAAGTGGAAGCTCTTTTTGCTTTTGCTCTTTTCGCTTCTCGCTGAGGCTGTTGCCCCTGCCAGCCGCACAGCGCTCATGGCCGCTTGTGAGCGTTGGGACCCCAGGATCACGGGTTACGGGTTGTGCCGCTGTCAAACGCAGACTGCACGCCCGAAAGGAGGCGATCTGGCCTTAGCCAGCAGCCTTCTGGCTGCTGCCGCAGACCTCATGGCACAGGATGCCACGGGGCGCTCTGCCATTCTCTTCGCCGCCTCTGCAGCCAACCTTCAGGCACGGCTTTTGCGTTCAGCCTGTGCTGTAAGGATCTTCATCGTGACAGGTTCTGAGACTGCTGTTGGAGCATGCCGCAGATGTGAACAGCTCCAACTGCGCCGGCCACACATGCGCAGGTGCCTCAGACGTTTTCTGACAAGAGCGGCCTTCTTCCACGCTCGCAGCTCCGTGCCATCAGTGCCTTTAAGGTGATGTATGCTGTCGGGGCTGGCATGCAGGTGGATACGTTCAAAGTGCTCATGCCTGTCACTGTCGTTGTCCACCTACGATGGACGCATCAAGGACAGCTCCAAAGCTGCGCAGCGGCTGGACGTTGTGCGCCTGCTGCTGGATGAAGGTGCGCTCTTCGAGATGTCCGGTGTTTCTACTGAAATTTGTGCTAGTCCCAGACATAGGCGCTTCTGCCAACGGCGCCACTGGATACGGCCTTTCTGCACTGATGCTGGCCTCGGCTTCAGGAGAGCAGAATTCGCGAGCACAGAGTCGTCTCGTGTTTACTTCACATCGAAGCTGTGGATATCATAGTACCGTCGATGCACGAGCTACCGTTTTCAGGACGCGTCGAGATGATTGAGCTGCTGGTCCAGCGAGCTGCCGAAATCAACGCTTCAACGGACATTCCGTTTTGCAGCTCCTGTCAGTCGCTACTTCACAAAGTGACTGCAGAATTCATGCTGCGTTTCGTGCAGGACATCGGCTTAACAGCTTTGACCATGGCGGCTGACAAAGGCAATGGTTTTATGCCCGCACTTTCAGCATTTGCGGCACTTTGCCCTTGCACGGTGTTGCAGCTGAACCGCAAGTACGTGTCCTGTCTTTTCCGTTTTGCGCCCTCTGTCGTGCGTGCACTTGCTCCTTCAATCTTCAGAGCGTATAGCCTCCCGATTTTTGCTGTTGGCCCCCACTTCGCCGATCCCCCACCAAGCCCGGATTGGGTTGCGCCCGCATGGAAGCGTGAAAGTGTGGGGCGATCGGCGATGATGCATGATGGCAACACAGACACAACATCCCGTGATGCCAGCTTTTGCTATCCAGGAAGTCCGTCATTACACTCGATCCCCTGGTACCTGGTTGCTGGGTCCTGGGTACAGCAGCAAATGTCGGCACCGAGTGAGTGGTACTGTCACGAAAGCTCGGTACAGCTTGCAGCTGTTGTTGTTTACCTATTCACTAATCACTTTAGTATAGGCCACCAGGCCAAAGCCTTTTGTGGATCCTTATCACGTCGTCTAGCAATAGCTATGGTGGGCAGAGCCCCCCGAAATGATTGATGCAGATGCAATAAGGAGGAGTCCAGAAGGTGGTTGCGTGATTGGATAAGTCCCCTTGCGCTCCCCCGCTCGCCCCGTACCTGAAGGTTCCTTTAGAATGGCTTCTTTTGCGAAGTGCATGCTTGTTGTCTCGGCCATGCAAGATGGATATAGTTTCCAGCAGCAGTTTCAAGGGCGATTAGCAGCATGGCGACTTTATGTGGAATGATTTCACACACATCTGCCTAGCTATTGGCTTTTGCACGCTTTGTCATGTTGCATGTCTGAACGCTTAACCATATCGAACGTCGCGGCTGCACACGCAGCAGCGTGTTGCGGCGCGGCGCTCGCTTCAGGTTTGCGTGGGGTGTATTGGCACTTTCGGGCCGGCACATGTTTTCCTCTTTCGTTGGTGAAAGTTGCGCTTTAGCACCGGCAGCGGGCTGCCTCGGCTAAACAACATGTGTCCAACCCGCTAGGAGTGCCAAGCCTCGGCCTCGGCCACGCTTGAGTGATTCACAACGCTCTGCTGCAATAGATTCGCTTGACGAGTCGCCCGACTGCCCCGCCCTTCGCTTGCTGCGCTTCCTTCCCCTAGCTTTTGTGGCCCTCTTCTCAAGTGTCCTTTTATGCAGGGCACGTCGATGCAGTCAAGCTTCTGCTACGAAGCACTGCGAGCGCTGACCACCGGTACTCGAACCATGTTCGCAAGAAGTGCGTTTCCAGTTCGCAAGAGCAACGGATTTCAAACACGCAGACTGCTTGCAGACACTAGCCCAAAGGAATGGCAAGACGGCCCTCATGGGAGCCGCTGCTTTGGCGCATCTTCGTCGAAAGAAGGAGAGTGTGTCAGTGAAAGTTGTATTTGCCCTGAGTTTTCTGTTTTCTTGCACAAGAACCCGTTCGAAGGCACACAGCCGTGGTCATTGCACTACTTGAGGGCCGGGCAGAGGTCAACGCACGCTCCGGCGATGGCCAGTCTCCGCTTCTGTAGCCTGGCTTTTAGCCAACCGGCCTAACATCCTCGACTGCGCATATTGGGTGCCTCCAGCGCCACTGTGCTCCCCATGTTCGACTAGCCACGAGGTACGCTGTCGAGTCTGGGCTGAAGGACCGACCCCAGAAGTCTCCAAACAGCTGCGAGCAAAGATCCACTGCATACCTTGTGCCCAGCTTGTTCCCAGCCCAGCAGAAGTTGCCAGGATGGCCTGGCTTGCCCGGTGGCGGGTGAGGTCCACAAGCCTGGGGCGGAGGCACGTCTAGATAGCAGACGACAAGGATGTCCAGCAGACAGGCTCCCTACTGCAGGCTGTGTGTTGAAAGGTGTCAGTATGGCCTGTCAGGCCACAACAAAGGCGCTGCTGCTCGCAGATCCTCGGCGGCAAATGCATCGCGCAAGCAATGCAAGAATCATATATACAGCATGTAGTTATAGCAAAGTAGCTAGCAATCAGTCAGTGGTGCCGTTGACCGAAGCATGCAAACAGCCAAGTCTCAAGGCTGCGGATCCCGACATCGCTGGCCCGAGGTCACTGCCGAAATCCAGCAAGTAGTGCACAGGGTGCAAAGCAATGCTACGCATGCAAGCTGCCCGTTTTGGGTGCCACGCTCAGTGCAGGCATCGCACTGCTTTGCACATCAGCGTGGCCTGCGGCAGCGTAAAGCTAGCAACCCTGCTCCTGTCGGCGCGAGCTTCCCTGGATGCTCTCGACGAGGACGAACAGGGAAGTCACAGCCGCATCCACACTGGGCATCACTGGGCTGTTCTGCAAGGAGGGTCGATCTGCAATGGACATTGCCCAGCCCGGATTCTTCGATGCTGTGCAAGCTGCATCCCCAGCCACAGGCGCCATGCGGTGGTTTTCGAAAGCTTGCAGGAATGAGAACCAACAAACAACAACTTGACCTAACTATTTTCCCACAGCGGGTTTAGACGGCTGGGGTCAAGCGAAGCTGTTGTGTTTGGTAACATGAAAACACGTTGCCGTGGCCGGTGCTGGATTGCACGTCTGAAGTTCCGACGTCAAAGAAGTTATGCTTGCAGGCAAGGATTGGTTGCAAGGGACTTACACGGATGCTTCCATTGCATTATCTGAGTCTTTTCGACACGCTCGTGGATCAAGGCGAAGGCTCAGCGAGATCTGCCAGGCTGCTCTCGTCGCATCACCATATCGGTCAAAGCAAGCAGGGAGTGACGCAGCGCTCTGTCAGGTTTGTGCTGGAGCGTCGTGCTTCGGCTGAGCAGAAAACACCGTGCCTCTTGCAGAATCTGTGTCTGTTCAGGTCCCATAAGTGGCTCAGTACTGAAGCTGTGCTTGCCTTTGCTTGTGGCGAGAAGAATTCTCCCGAGATGCGTCACCACGGGTACATGATGGTACCTCTGAGCTTTCCGACTGCATTCGCTGCTGGGCTCGGGCTCTGCTCTCTGTCAGCGATGGAAGTCAGCCGAGTGCTTGGGCCCTAGGACCCTAGGAATTCCCTCTGACTGATGAGGTACTCGTATCTGCTTCGCATTGGCAGGTGCTCATCCCACCGCAGGCGAGCCATGAGTGAAGCGCCAAAGGCGTGGCAAGCGAATTGACGCGACCTCAAGGCTGTCGCAGTCCCTGCGGTTGGGTGAAGGTATGCGCCTCCACGTCCTTCAAACCCAGGGCATTCCGCCCAACAGCATTCTCTCAGCTAGCGCCCAAGCTATTGCTCGGGAGGCAAGGTTCGGCGGATCTTCATGTATCAACCAGAAGTAGCCAGCAGGTGAAGTCCGGTAGCTCGAGACGGCAGCAGCTGATACCATGCCAGGCCAGAACTTTTTCTCTTGACGTAGGAAGCAATTGCATCAGGATCTTCTTGGTCTGTCAGTCTGTCACTCATTGGAAAGGCACCTTTCAAGCTCGAGCAGCCGCACCAAGCTTACTTCTGGATTCCCAAAGCTTCTCACAAAAAGACTTAACATGGCTTGGCTTTTGAAAGGCCTGTTCCTGTGGAGCTGGATGTGCTGACCTGCAGGGCCAAAGGTCATGAGGCTCGCTTCCCCCGGTTATCAAGAGCTGTGAAGCCGAGCGGCTTAAGCAGGTTTGCTCGCCTGGTCCATGCGAGAAGCTCTTGAAGGTGCGATCACGGGGAAGGGAGGGAGCAGTGCGGCCCGGAAGCGCGAAGCTGCTTCTGCTGCACATGCAGGTCCCCATGAGCAACGGTGGCAAGTCCATGAGTGTTCGGGCACCGAGTGCGGACTTGGACTTGTCATGGTCCTTTGAGACTTCATCCGAAATGTCTAAAGGTTACCTTCCGTGTGCGCAAAGTGGATGGTGCCCATGTCCCAGGCGCAGTCTGAAGCTCTTCCGTTCTGCTGATTTCTTGCCGAGGAGGAGGATGAGAGCTGCCACACCCCGAAGTTAAGCAGAAAGGACAAGGCGCACTCGGAGCCTGATCAGAGGCTTTCCCGAAGCAGTTCGCTACAGGAATCTGCCATCGAAACATATCTTGTCAAGCACGACCTGCCGCACCCTGATTGTCTCTTTGCGCCGATGCTGTCCGGAAAACAGCTTCCTGACAACAGCATCAGGCACTCCTTCATGAAAGAGGTGTTTCAGGGGCTCACGGCAGAGCAACCGGAGGAGTGCAATCACCTGAAATGTTACACGCGTCCAAGTTCAGCATTCGGCTCGCGAGGATCCGTTCCTCTACATAGGGAGGCCTGTTCGGACTGTTCGGGAGGGCGGTGCGAAGTGGGCTCGTGAAGGTGCTTGCAAGCTGCGGCTGCTAGGGACGTTGGCTCGAAGGCAGAACTATCTGCAAGACGTGAGACGGTGCTGTGTCTTCCGCTGCATGTAGTTGGCTTGACTCTGCTCAACTCTGAGCGTCTCCGGAGTCACTTTGGGGCTTTCCGGATCTCTGCTCCAGGCTGAGCCGCCCGAGCCGCCCGAGCCGCCTTCCGTTGCCTTCCAAGAGTCAGGCGCGGCTCTCGCGGGCTCGCGGGTGTGCCCAACACATCCCAAGACCCAACATCCTGCACTCCTCCCTCCCAACCCCAACGACTGGCGTTTCAAAGTTCTCTCTAGAGAGGTGCAGTGTGCAGCAACTGCACTGCAACGTGAAGCTGAAAATCCGGTGCACTTTGAGGTCCTGTGCTCAAGGGAGCCAGCCGCCCGGCGACTTTGCCGCACAACTCGTACCAACGACGCTTGGTTTCTCAACTGGTCGTAGTATCATGTGAACGCTTGACTTCGCCAGATTGCTCGAGAGCAACAAGCTTGCACGATGCAGAGGCCAACAAAAGTTCTACAGTGGTGGAGATCTCGAAGCATGCCGCTTGCGTTTGCTGTCGATGAAGGCTGCGGCGGAAAGCGCGGGACACCCTGTCCAAGGGGTACTCAGACGGGCGGCTGCATTCTGCTTTGTGCAGTCTTCCTGTCCACGTCTTACAGTGCTTGTGGCAAATGTACAACAGATGCAAGACAGCAGACACCAAGCTGAATGGCTGAATCCTGTCCCAGTCCTGTTGGTTCAGGAAGAGCATGAAGCGGAGTTGCCTGTCCCCTAGCTGGCCCCAGCTGCCCATCTGGCCCTTTTGCCGTGCAAAATGGGTGGGAGGCTTCTGCAGACGCGAGAACCCGGCGCAGCCCAAGCCCAGCCCTTGTTGCGTGCGTGCAGCACAATGAGAGATCTCACTGCGCTGCTTGTTTCTTAAGTCTTATAGTGTCGGATTCTGCCCAAGGCTCAGCACCTTCGTGCTGATGCAAACGTGTCAGTGCTTTAGCTGCTAGCTGTTTGCAGACGTCACATGCTTGCGAGTGAAGAGTGCGTGCAAGGCAACTGCGGAGTTGCAAGGAGCCTGGTGCGGAGTCAGGTCATCCTGTCATTGCTGCGGCCTGACAGCAGTGCAAGGAATTCGGAAGTGTGCATGAAGGCAGTTCGGCATCAGCTGCATCCTGCCGAAGGGATGTTTCGTGTCTGTTAAGGCACAGCGACACAGCAGCGCTGAAGCCGCGCTGTTGCCTACTCAACACATCTTAACCTTCTGAGTGCTATCCATTCTTGACACACTTTGCAGACGATGGGCTTTCGCATGTTCGTGCAC